TCGCTGCGTTGCTTAGCCGATTCCCGCTTGAGCACAACTATTTCCTCCGGCTGCAATGTCCGTGAATAAGAACGCACACGGGGCGTCCGCCCATCCTCCRCAGAGGCATCCACCTGGCTGGCCGACGCTGTCGTTGTTTCTTGTTGTTTTGATTGCACTCTGCGCTTTTGCGGTGGCGACGACACCGTCACACTGTGATATGTGTCCAGCACTGCATTGGGCTTGACCTTGCCGCCGGCAGGTGGTTGTTTCGCTTTGGCCGCACGCAATGTGCTTGCAGTGGCCTTTGTTGCTGTTGTTGTTGGCGATGGGGTTGCTCGTTTGTTTGYTTGGGCAACAGCCTCACGCTCCTTATTTTTGCCTGTATGCAATGACGTTGATTTTTTAGCTGTTGCTGTTGCGGCTAGCGTCGTAGACTTTGTGGTTTTTCGCTGAATTTGCTCACTTTCAGGTTTCTCCTGTTGCTTCTCCTTCTGCGTGTTGCTTTTCGATGATGTTGCACCGGTTTTACTTGTTGCAGGTGATTTGATAGTCTTGCGTTGTACTTCATGTTTTGGCTATAAAATACAGTCATATTTGCTTTTTGATTTTGCTTACTATTTTTTCGTCTTCCGAATATACAGCAACAAGCTACTGTGCTACAGCTGTTCAGCGTGTGTTTTTCAACACTGGACAAATGAAAATTCAAAGATCAAACTGCTCTTTCCACAAAACGATCAATGCTCTCTTTCCATTCGTCCAATATTAAGTGTAATTGTGGTAGGCATTAGTTTAAATTAATATGTGTGCATGTGTGGGTGTGCGTACATGGTGCATAATAATACGTCTGGGAACTACATTCACAGTCAATCCAGTATCAAGTGGCTGAGCTGTTGAGCTGAACGTTAATAAAATCTTTGCAAATTAAGTAATATGCGGTATGTGATTTAGTTGGTTCCAAGTAAAAGTCCTTGTGCGTTTGAAGTGTGTAATATATGTATACAATCTTACATTTAATTTATTGGTCGTACGCGGTAAACTCTTCGACATTTTATGCCCACAATGACGGGTTTTCGTTTATAGTAGATGTAAAGCAGACACGTATGTTTAATCAATTGTAATTGTTAATTTAGTTCATTGCAAAAATTCATTTCGTTGTGACAAATTTAATCGTTCCCGTAGCAACCATTTGAGTAGCATAGCAACAAAAACAAAATGAACAGCTGATATGCAAAGGTTGGTAAGTTTGAATAAAAATAATCGATAAGAATTAGATATACATATGTAAATATATATACATTTGTTTGTTAATATAAAAAATAAATGGCGAAAAATATGGTTTTAGTTGATATTATTTTTGCTTGTAAATTTTACCTCTCGTGATGAGCTGCGTACCTGTCCCCACCGAAGCATTTTGCAACACTTATTCAAGAGAATGATTTGTTTTGAAAATTTGTGGTATTTAATTGCCTAATATTATCTAGCTTTACTTGTGCTCTTGTAAAAATTAATATCACAATAAATAAAGGTAATCTTGTGCACAGAATATTCTCTAAAATTATAAGCGTTGCATCAGCCACCAAGTGCTCGTAGCCAACAAGAGAACAAAGCTGCTGTGGATACCTAAATGCGCGCCGCTGTCGTCGTCGTGTTTTGAGGCGTAGTACTGCGATATGTAACGGGCATATATGTGCTCCATGGAACGCTTGGCGTCGTCTCGCTGCAGCTCATGCGCGCTTAATAGTGCATCCGTGCTGTCGTGGAATAAGATGTCAGTGCGCCTATCGAAGATGCCATAGAGCGAAAATGGGCGTGTGTCTGTCTTCGGCTTCTTGCCAAACAAATGATCCATGTCGCGCAGCGAGTTGTAGATCTCGTTGTGCCGTGTTAGAGATGAATTGTGCGTCACCAGCTGGCCACGCGGCGTCCAGTGTAGATAGCAGTACTCAAACCTTGAATGGCGTTCAATGCCGCCGTAAGGACACAACAGGCGGTAAGACTGGGGTGTGCCTCGCGCCAACCAGTCGGATGTTAAATTGCCACTAATATATTTCTTGTAGACATCGGAGCTGAGGAAAGCCACATCGGCACCCTCGGCCAGGCAACGGAATGCGCCCTCATCGCCATGATAATGCGGCGGACACTGACGACCACGATGCGGATGCCAGAGGCAAGATTCGTGACTGAAATATGAATTCACTGACTGTACTTTTCCGGTGGCGTTCACAATGGTATCTAGCACAGAGAGATGGGCAGCACCCTCATAGCTGGGCAGGCAAGCTCGAGCGCCCTTTAAGTCCGTAAAACTTTTAAACTTGGAATCCTTGTGTACTAGCGCAATTATTACATAGCGATCGTGCATTTGCTCTGCGAACTCGAAAAGCAACGGCGTCAAGCCGTAATCCCTTTGAGCTTGAACCCKTTGCTCTTGGTTAACCATTAGAACATCGGCGCTCTTGTAACGAGTATCTTCCATACACTGCTCTAAGTTTGTCGTGCGTATGCACTGAATGTTCGGCTCGACGCCATATACTTGGGATGCCTCCTGCAACCAAGAGCACTTAATATGCTCGATRATCGATGTTGTGCAGACGACAATCGAGCGTGGGGGATTGCACTCGGGGAAACTGTAGGCCGACTGAAAGCCAATAGCCTGATCCAGATAGTCATCTATAGAGATGACGTTGTCCAGWGGCACAGTAAACACATGGTATGTCTCCAGCAAGCTAAGCAGCGCGTTTTGCCAGCTCTGCGGCTCGTCGTGTGTGAGTCCAGTAACCAGACGCTGCACCTGAGCGGCATGCGAGCGACGTGCAGCCACCACAGGCCATGGCTTGGATACCCAAATGCAGGGATGCGTAACATTGATTGGCTGCAAGTGTCCGTCTGGACAGAGATAGCTGTATTTAGTCGGATCGTCCTGTGCTTCCAGACCTGCCAGCTGTTAAACATGATAATTAGCAATGTTTATGTATAAACAATAAATCAAATTTTGCTACTCACCCCAAAATGACTGCGCGTATCGTCAAGGCGTGCCCAGGAGACGCTACCGCCGCCACTTGTCAGACAATAGAGTGCTCCACGTCGGCCCCAATGCTTGTCCGTGTCGTCGCAGCTATATGGATTATAGCACATTTGGCACAATGATGGATACCGATCCTTGAGAATGCGATCCTGTTTACGATCTGGCACCCAAGGACCAGCTTTGCAGCTGGGWCCAAAATACCTCGCTGAAGCCGCAATGCGGTCTTCAGTTAATGTAATATCTGGATTGCAGGACTTTGCGACCAAGGTTGACTCGAAGTACTGCAAAGAGTAATTATGACAATTAAAATGTAT